GGTAAGTGACTAGTCTTTTGGGACTGGAAGCAACCTACATGTTATGTGGTCTTTGGTATAAGTCACCACTTACCACTAAAACCAGTTTGTCTTGGCAGCATGATAGACTGGATAATTTAAGGGGACTGTCTGTGACTGTGTTGTAAGACTGCTAATAATGAATCACATGTGGTATTCTCTTGGTGAAATCTAATTTAAAAAACACCAGTCCTGTTTCTGACAGTCTGCCTTGAGAAAGGCACTTACAGTTGACTTGTAGACATGTACTACCTGACACTCCTTGTCTCTCTGAGAAGATGTGAGGCTGCCCCAGATTATTGTGATACCCTGGTAAGACCTAGTAGACACCCTTTCCACATGTATTGTCCACCACTCACCCACAAAGCTACCATCTCAGGAACAAATTTCAGTTTCTTCACCTCCACTTTTATTCTATGTCTACATATGTGTGCATCCCCAGGTTCATTAAAGTCATTATTCCCCTTTATTCAGAACTGAAGAGGCTACATCTGGAGTATTGCATCCAGTTCTGGGGCCCCCACTATATAAAGGATGTGGATGCACTGCAGGTGCCCCTGGTGGCCACTCCATCCATAGTAATCGCAGCTTAAATGCGAGATAGCATCCATTCAGTGTGGACACTATATTCTGAAAAAACAGATCACTTTTTCGATGCGCTTTGGCAGTATGGATGCGCTCTTTCAGAAGAAGTTTTTTTGGAAGATCTCTTCTGGAAAAGCTTCTTCCAAAAGAAGCCTGCAGTCTAGAAATAGCCTAAGGGGGAATATGATAGAGGTCTGTAAAATCATGACTGGTATGGAAAAAAGCGAATAGGTTCCCTGCCCCCAGGGCCCCACCCAGTCTTGACTCCTGCACTTCCCAATCCACACATCCACATCCACCCTGTGCCCTGACACAGTCAACCAGTGGAACTCCTTGCCAGAGGATGTTGTGAAGACTAGGACTTTAACAGGGTTCAAAAAAGAGCTAGATAGATTCATGGAGGTTAGGTTCATCAACAGCTATTAGCCAGGATGGGTATGAATGGTGTCCCTAGCCTTTGTTAGTCAGGAAATGGATGACAGGAGAGGGATCACGTCGTGGTTACCTGTTGTGTTCCCTCCCTCTGGGGCATCTGGTATTGGCAACCGTCAGCAGATAGTATACTGGGCTAGATGGAGCTTTGGTCTGACCCATTATGGCTGTTCTTATGTCCAGGCTTCACAATGCAAGTGTATTTTCTTTCTTGAACTTTCATATTGACCCTGCAAAGCTGTAACCTTCCTAGTGATAAGGCACACAGAATTGTTTGTGCAACCACCAAAGTGCGCCTTTCACTCTTCTTCTACAGAGTCTCTCAATATTGGAAGACACCAGGGATTGGAACAATAATAAACATTTGAAATGGTCACAGAGAGAATGGACAACTCTGATGTTCCTCAGAGAACCAAAGTTTTTCCTTTCCCTTCCCAGACCTTTGTGGGTCCGTGTCTAATCCTGCAATCACTTCAGTATCCTTCCCCATGGTTCCTATTTCTAAGGGGAAGCTAGGATGGCGGAGGGATGCTTTTGGGACTTTGAATAACCATTAAACTATTCTGAGACAGAGTGAGGTTCTGTCCCAGAGTGGCTGTTTTGAATGCATCATCCTCTTGTATGGCGCATCAGGAGCTTCATGTGAATGCCAGCCTCATTCTGCCTTTTTGAAATCTCCTAGTGGAGATGTATGTTCCTGCCACTCTGGGCAAAGTCATGGATGACAGTGAACTCTGACCATGCATTGCTGAGCACATGCATGTATATAAGAGGTGAGATGGCAGATCCTAGAACATGATCCATTATAACAGAATTCCAATGAATTGTTCAGAAGTGCTCAGAACATATCATGTGACATTGGTTGCCATGGTCCTTTATATGTTTGGGTAAGGTTAGGCAGAAAAAACATTCATTAAAAGAATGACCCTGGAGAACTGCTGATACTCATACTCTCATATACAATCCTTACCCCATCCACACTTCATTACAGAAGGGGAGTACAGGGCCATCCCACAATGAAGCTGTATATATATCCATGTTTCTCATGGATGCTATATTACTTGCTATGTGCTCTCCTTCAGGAACATAATTAAAGTTTCAGAAGCACACAGTCAGAGTTATGGTGCAACAATGCACATGTAATCTTGTACAGCTGCAAGTGCAGACATAACGTTAGTTGTGTAGGGGAGCAGTAGGTTGATGGCCTACTTCCTCTTGCAGTTATTAAAGGGTGCGTCTACACTACATCATTATTTAGAGATAACTAGCGTTATTTCAAAATAACAGTGTGTCTACACAGCCATTTCATTATTTCAAACAAATTTTGAAATAACAGATGGCTTATTCTGAAATCTGTAAACCTCATTCTGTGAAGAATAACACCTATTCCAACATAGCTATTTTGAAATAAGCTGTGTGTAGATGGTCCACTGCTGCTATTTCAAAATAGCCCCTCACCAGAGCCATTCTTAGAACCAGGGCCTGTTGGGGCTCTAAATCGAGATAGCACTTCTACATTAGGAAGCCTGCCTCAGACTAATTTTGAGGCTTCCCTGCAGAATAAATGTGCTATTTCGAAATAAGCTATTTCAGAATAATTGTTCCAGAATAGCTTATTTTGAAATAAGTGTGCTGCGTAGATGTACCCTAAGAGTGGTCAGAGGGCTTGCTTCTTCCATCTATCTTTATGTGGGTATCTAAAAACATATATATTTTCATACTTCAGGGCATAAGCAATCCACTAACCAAAGGTCATTAGGAAGAACTTTCTCTTCACAGTTTATTTTAGATAAGCCTATTTTTGGTTTTCTTTCACCGAAACTAGCCACTTTCTGGGACATAATACTAGACTAAATGGAATTCCAGTCTGATCTGAGATGGTGACTTGTATGTTGTGTGTTTCTATCTAGTATCCCTGGGACATCTGGGAAGGAATGCTATTGCCCCCCAATTATAACTATTCTGATTTTTAAAAAGGACCCACTTAATAACTGCAGTAGATAAGGCATCTTTGAAACAAAAAGAAAAGAAATAAAGGCATTAACCAGGGTAAGAAAACTTGAGTACTGCTTTTGAATGAGGAACAGATAGGTGAAGAGGCTGCTCACTTTATAGAAAGTGCTTCTTGGCTAAGATGGAGGGTCATAAGGCCTTCTTGTTAATTTTTCTTGGGAATGGCCCAATAGGTTGCCTGCAATGACTTTGGTAGAAGTTGCTGTGGAACATCAGTAGCACCTAAATCACTTAACAATAAGTAAACGACTTCAGGCTACTGATAGGAATAGCATTTTGAGAGCAGTGGAGTCCTGTACATGAATAAAAGTTCTATCACAAAAGGTATATGTGCACACGTGTATCTGGGTGCATGTTTATATACATGCACAATGGATGTGAGAGCCACAGGGAATCTCATCTTTGAAACACATCTTTTTTCATTAGAAAATGAGAAATCTGTATAGGTTAGATTTCATATTTGCATTAGATTTCAGATATGAGTTAACCTGAATTCCAAAAATATATTAACATGGTGCATATTCAGCCAAGTAAAACATGCTATTTTTGGTTTTGTGAAATTTTGCAAGCTGAAAAAGGAAGTTTTTACAAGAGACTGCTTTTGCTAGTTTGGAAAACTATCTATCTGAATATGTCTATGATATGATAAAGTGGGCCATAGTAAAATACTGTGAGAAGCAGAAAATCCATGATTTGCAAGCTATTGTGGAAATTCATTAGGAACTAGTTCGGTGTTGATTGTCACACAGCCCAGTTGAATTAAAAATCCAAATAAGTTACTGGAAATTTTTTTGAAGCACATCTTTTCTTAGATACATTCAACAACATCAGTTAAATCATAAGCTTCAGGCTACGTCTAGACTGCAAGCCTTTTTCGAAAGATACTTTCGAAAAAAGCCTCTTTTGAAAAAAGCATCTAGACTGCAAGCAGTACTTTCGAAAAAGCAAGCCGCTTTTTCAAAAGAGAGCACCCAGGCAGTCTGGATGCTCTCTTTCAAAAAAGCCCTGTTTGCATTCAAGAACGCCTTTTTTCGAAAGAGCACTTTCAAAAAAAGGCGTTCTTCCTCATGAAATGAGGAGTACCGCCGTCGAAAGAATATCCTTGTTCTTTCGATTTAATTTCGAAAGAACGCGGCTGTAGTCTAGACGTAGGTGAAGTTTTTTCGAAAACAGGCTACTTTTTTTGAAAAAAACCCTGCAGTCTAGACACAGCCTCAGAGGGGTAGCCGAGTTAGTCTGTAACTAAAAAAACTTAAAAAGCATTGAATAGTCTAGCAGCACCTTACAGACTACCAAAATATGTAGATGGTATCATGAGCTTTTGTGGGTACAACCCACTTCTTCAGATGAATGGAATATTAAAAGTCCAGATCCAAGAATAAACAAGGGAAGTGAGCGGGGGAAGAAAAGAGGGGAAATAGTGAATTTGAGTGTTCATGTTACAAGAAGCTGATAGAGAAGGTGCAAATTGTACTTAAGGTACCCATTGTTTAGTTGGTTAAGTCATTAGGATGTGGAAGGTAGTGTGCTAGCCAAGTAATGTCTTTATTTATACCTTTGTGATGGCTCCCTAACTTGTAAATGAAGTTAAGTTCCAATGCTTTCCTGTATATTTTGCTTGTGAAATTGGCCTGAAACTACACAGTGACTCATGATTACTAGTCCTTAGTCTTCATGCTCTAGTTATTTCTAGTGGTGATACATTTCAACATATGTAATTTTCTACAGCTAGACTGCATTGCACTTGTATCCTGCCAGTGTAAATGCCAATACAGTACATAAATTACCTTCACATTATTAGATATAACAGGACATACACAATTTATCTCTGTGGAATATTGTTTGTTTCAGGTGTCACGCTGGGTTTGCTGGTCAGTTTTGTGAAATAGAAGTTAATGAATGTGGTTCATCACCTTGTCTGCATGGTTCAACCTGTGAAGATCATATAAATGGATACAGTTGCAAATGTCGAAATGGTAATTACTGACAGATCATTTTCAAGCAGTACATTTTACATTCATATAAGTATTATTTTATGAAGAAGTTGTTTATATTTGTAGCCTTGTTTAAAATTTACAGTTGAAATGTTAAGCTACCTTTGAACTGATGTATGTAAAGACAAGATCATTACAAGAACCCTCCTCCTCCCATGTTAGTCCAAGTGTTGCCAAATGCACTTGGAAAAATTTGGATGAAGGTAAAGGATAGAATTAACTAGCCTAATTAACATATTTAAAAGACTTCACATTAAAATTAATTCTTCTATGAAGCCAGTTTGAAACATTGGCTAAACCTAGATCAAGAGGGCTGTCTTTGGTATGCCCACCAAGACATCAACTATATAGGGTGGCTTTCCTCAGTTCTTAGATGGTGGAAAGGCCCAGGTAACATTTGCATGGAAGTGTAATACAACACTAATTCAGCCTTAAGAGCCATGATGACACACATTTCTGTATTTGGATGTTGTGAGGATTGTGGTGGGGAGGAGAGTTTTGGTGATGTCAGGAAAAAAGGCAACAATTTGTCCATAAAGAATGAAAGAAGGGTTTGGTCTCCCAGGCTGTGTCTTATTTACACAGAGAGAATCAAAGGACAAGCTCTGTCTACATCAAAGAATATCAGTCTGGATTTTTCAATGCATTAGGTCATGTCACAGACTAGTAGGTATGCAGCCACCCAGCAAAATAAATGTGTACTTCATAGTGGCACAGTCCACCAACATGGCATCTTTAGCAAACGTGCCAATCCAAGATATTTGCATAGCAGAAATCTGGTCAGCTATACACATGTTCACAAAGCACTAGGCACTGATGCAAACAGCCAACGATGATATGGGTTACAAAGATCCCCTCGCCCCATGAGGACTACGGCTTGCATATTTGAACTGTGAAATATGTACATGGACTAGCATTCAAAGAAGAAAAAGATCTTATTTATCTGTACAGTAATTGATGTTCTTTGCAATCCGTATACATATTCCACAACCCACCTACCATCTCTGCTACTTCAGAGTTCTGATGTGCAGGTGGCAAAGGAACTGGATGTATCAGAATGGCTCTGATTCTTTACACCCTTGCAAAGTGAATGAGAACATAGGGCCACCTCCCTCTTATATACTGTTGAATAGAAAGTTTTATGACATGCACTGGAAATTCACTCTATCCAGACAACACATCTCAAGGAACATCAGTGCTGTAAAAGTGAGTAACCTGTTTTTTTCCCCTATAGTAAGCTTAGTTATTTTGCGTGTAGGGGTATAGATAAATATGCTGACTCAATAGCTCTCCCAGCATTTAACAGTTGAGTGAGCAAGACAGAGAATCAGATTATACCCCTTAGAGGTACATTGGCCAGATTTGGCCAAAAATGTAGGGGATTTCTTAATCCTAATGGAATAATCTTTAACAAATATAGGCAGTCCCCGGGTTACGTACAAGATAGGGACTGTAGGTTTGTTCTTAACTTGAATCTGTATGTAAGTCAGAACTGGCGTCCAGATTCAGCCGCTGCTGAAACTGATCAGTTTCAACAGCGGCTGAATCTGGACGCCAGTTCTGACTTACATAGGGTATGTCTACACTACAGCGCTAATTCGAACTAATTTACACTACAGAGCTAATTCGAACTAACGCGTCTAGAACTAAAAACTAGTTCGAATTAGCGTTTTGCTAATTTGAACTAGCGCATCCACACTGATTGGACGCAGGGGGGCATTTAATGGCAGCTGAAACTGGTTCTGGCAGGGCATCAGGTCAGTAGTTGCTTTGTGTGGCTGCTGTCTGAGGCTATCTGAGGCTCGAGCTTAAAGGGACCCCCCCGGACAGCCGGTTCTCAGCTTTTCCTGCATGCTTGCCAACCTCGCCGAGGGACAGCAAAGCGTTGGTCTCTGTGCCCATCTGTGTCGGTGGGTCCCCTCC